TTCACCAAACAGCTTACCGTTCCTATTTTTCTTATTTGGCCCCTTTATCCAAATCTGGCTAAACAATGGCACTTATATTCTTACCGAGAATTCTCTCATGTTTAGTAGGTAACAACAGATAACTCACACCTCTTATCAATGAAGCTTTTCTCACTATTTTAGAATGGCATTTGCCATTTTCTCATATCCATAATATTGATCTGGAGAGACACTGCTTTTCAGCTGACTTTCAGCTTAGCTTGCATGGAGAGAAGAGGATTAACTTCAGATCACTAATATTGATTAACAGCTTCTTTAGTCCTATAATTTCTACCTAGCTCTGGTGAATGGTACTGCAAATCTTGTGTCTGGAAGATCTTCTCTCAATTATCAGCAGGAGGTAGTAGAAATCCAAACCTCATGTAGGCATCACTGTCCTGAGTGTTCCTGTTCTTTAATTTGGTCAGAGCTACAACACTTGTATGTGTGTATGTGTGTGTGTGTGTGTGTGTGTGTGCACGCGTTTGTGTGTGTAGACTTTATGGTTAGAGGGTGACAGTCACTCTTGTCTTGTGACAGCTGGTGTGCAGAGTAGATGGACTGGAAGGAGTTGATTTGTGATGCATCAGTGCTTAGGTTACAGGCACTGCCATCAGTCTCCAGGAAATTCTATGAATTACTCAACTTTTTTACCTTTTTTGAGGCCTCCTCATCCCATTCAGTGTAAGTCAGTAGAAGGTGTGTTCTCAGGTGTTTTGCAGCCAATGACTAAGGAGTAAAAATAATCCTTAATGCAGGGATTTTGAATAGAAAAGATGTAATCCGTGTAGACATAATGAGACATGATATTAAGCAAAAACGGCAAGTCAAAAATTTATTGGGACATAGTACCTGTTGGATACAGGATGCTTGATTTGAATGAGCATTTGTTGTATATGTCTTGTGCATAGTTGAGTCTTTAGCTGTGAATAATTATCTACCTACTGCATGTGGCCTTGTTCAAAGGCCAAATACAGTTAGATGCACTATGCAAGGTACATGAAGGTGTCCTGAGAGTTGCTGTTGCAATGTGATGCAGCAAAAGTAGCTGAACATTATGGTCTGTGTTTTCCTAACGCATCCTTTTTGAATTTAAAAGATGCAAATGAGAACAATTGAAGCAGAATTTTCCTTCATAAGAACTGGGGCACTGCCATCAATTAAGGCTTTTCCTCTAATGTGTTGCAGGGCCTGCCCACTGGAAGGAGGTTTTTCCTGTCGCTAATGGAGACCGTCAGTCACCCATCGACATCAAAACTGAGGAAACCAAGTATGATCCCTCCCTCCGTCCTCTAAATCCCAGTTATGATCCGGCTTCTGCTAAAATCATCCTTAACAATGGGCACTCCACCAGTGTGGAGTTCGATGACACCGTCAACAAATCAGGTTTGTCGCTTTCCTGTTGCACTGTGTCTTCCTCCACTGTTTCCTAAACAGACTACGTGCAGCCTGGGCACATCTCACTACCGGGCATGAACTCCTTGTAAGCAGTAAGGTTTTGCTCCTCTGGATGAGAGATTCCTTTTTTCCCTGTCTTTCAGCATGGTTCAGTGTGGAAACATATTTGGACATGAGTTCGAGTTCGTGTTTCTTACAAAGTGCTGTGATTCCATATTCACAGGGGTGGTTTGATCCACCCCAACCAGCTAGACAGTGCCAGCCCCCCTGTTTGAACAGTGTTGTGCACAATTTATCAAATGCTGTTCTCTCTCTCACTGCAGATGAATCCTTTGTGTCTCATTACAGGTTCATTCCAACCGAATCGCTCAAATCTCTTATCTGAATTTAGCTGCAGGTTTGGTTCTGTATTTTCACTCTTCCTACAACCCATACCTGGACTTCTTGTGTCAGGAAAGAGCCAACACAGAACAAATGAAATATATACCAAGTAATCCATTTTCTTCTCTGAAAAGTGTTATTGTCCCAGTCTTTTCCAGGAGTATGTAGCTTCCCTTTTTGCAGGCAATTATTCTTATTTAGAAGTTCTCTGGTTTAGCATAGTCTTTGTAACATTAGTGCTTTCATCTTCAAACCTTCTCTTGGATGGTAGGCAAGCCAGCATGCCTCCCCTTGAAACTGTAGGAGAACAGAATCTTCAAGCAATAAAATCATCTTGTGGCTGCATGAGGCTTAGCTGAGGACCCAAGCCTGTACGATGCTTTCACAAGGGTCAAAGCCAGAGGGGGACTAATTTTTGATCACCCTGTCCATTAGTCCTGAGGACTTATTTGCCTATAGCGGCAACAGGGAGAGACATAGATGGAGACACCATCATGCTTTGGTTTCCTGGACAGTCTTAGTTTTAAATTTTCTGTCAATACAAGCAACACTGGATGTTGCCTGAAAGTCACCCGCTGACCGTCAATGATCTGGTCTGACCTCGAGTGTGTCAGATGCCACGGAACTTCCCAGAATTAATCTCTGCTTCAAGCCTAGTAGGTGCTGGTGAACTAAAGCACATCTCTTAGAAAAACATACAATCTTGATTTCAGAATTTCCAGCGATGATGAACCTACCACAGCCTTTGGTAAGTTGTTCTAATTGTTAATTATCCTTAAAGTTAAAAATCGCACTCTGTTCTTGATGTGAGTTAGGTCAACTCAGCCTTTAAACTCTTTTTTTTAAAAAAACAACTTAGTAATAAATGTGAACACACCAAGAACCTCTTTCATTCTCTCCACATCTATGAAGTGACAGGGCCTGAATGTAGTTTTTCTGGAGGCTTACACTGGTACCAAAGCAGTGGTAATGTGATCCTCCTCTTACTGCTTTCCTCAGGCCATATCTTCAAGGTTATGGTTCCTGTTACGGCAAAGCACTGACAGATGCTGATCAGATAATTAACAGATGTAATCCCCAGTTTCCTTCAGGACACTCCATGTCTTCTATGTGTGGACTAGATTCTTCAGTCCACATCCATAAACTGAATAATTCACTATTTTCCCTAATATTTGTCACTGACAAACTTTATCAGTAATGTTTTTGTTTTCTTTCAGGTCATTGCTTAAACATTACTGAATTTTCTAGGGCCAAAATTTGGCCTCTGGGACAACCTGTGAAGTAAGAACTCCTGCCATGTGTTGGTTTCGTAAAAAAAACAAACAAAAAATAATTGGCACTAGATACATTAGCATCTTTTAATGCATTATTAACTGACTTCCGTATGAACTATTTCTTCACTTTGGTCAGCATTGGAACTGGGCTGTCAATTCTGTAACTGTTTGTGTAAGTCTGTTTATGCTCTTTGATACCACATGATACCAATTGAAATTGACCTATTGATCTTCTTCCAGAGTTTTTAAAAATTTGAGATACCGATATTTGCCTTAAAAGCTTCTAACTTCTTCCTTAATCACTGTTGGAATTAAAGAGTTTTACTGTCACTGTATGATGTGGCACAAATACATCATCAGGCCATTTTTAAACATTTTTCAGCAGAAGCATTTCATGCTGATGCATTTCTACACAAGTTTTCCCTCAGCTGTTTAGAACACAAATCTCTACACATTTCTAGGATCACTTGCCTCTAAGTTTTCAGTCCTTGAAAAAAGGAATTGGTTTTAGGAGTGCCACTTCCCCATCCCTTCTGTTGGCTATGTAAAAGCATGTTTTTGAGTTGAAGTTTTAAGAAAATCAAATATTTTTCCCCACAGATAAACAGTCCCAGTTCCTTTTCATTAGCCAGGCTACTTGTATGAGCAGGCAGGCAACTTAAAAATTCTTCTTTCCTCTTTATCTGGTGCATTTTGTTCCTAATGAAGTTACAGTTTGGACTAAACCTAGAAGGGGAAAAAATTGCTGTTTTCTTCCCTAGTGCTCTTAGTTTAAAAACCACCTGGTCAAAACTCCCCTCGTGCCCATTATTCGATGAGCCATACTGTAACGAGCCAGTAAACTATCCTAGACTGATTCTGAAGCCTTCAGAGGAGAGAAATGCTGAGAGAGCAGAATGATGTTTTGCAGTGAATAAGGAATCTTTCTGAATATGATTTGCATTCAAGTCTCTGCGCAGAGATAGTTTGGTTCCAACTCTGATTAGCAGACGATGAGCACTTGCAAAAGCAAAACAATGAAAAGCCCACCCATATGCATGTTAGGTTGAATCAGAACAGAAACAAGTATAATAGAATAGAACATTTCAGTTGAAAGGGACATACAAGGATCATTGTCGTGGTTTAACCTCAGCCAGCAGCCAAGAACCACGCAGCTGCTTACACTCCCTCCTCCCTGCTCTGCCCCCCCCAACCCGGAGGAATGGGGAGGAGAACAACTGGAGTAAAATATGTGGGTTGAGATAAGGACAGTTTAATAACAATACAGA